TGAGAATGACTATTCCATTGTCACATTAATTCCATTCCATTCTCATGTGAGTCCATTCCCGCGTACCAAACGAGGCGTGAGTATTTTGGTGCACGGGAGGCATATCTTCTGCAATACGTTGCTCTATAAGGCAAAGGTAGTTCCTCTCTGCAGTCTTATTTTGGACAAATGCAAGCTTTTTGGACAGAATTATGCTCTATGCTTCCTAGACGTGATTCCACATATGAAGACTGGCTAGCTTGGTACGAGCGGCATGAGGTGCATCAACTATTTTAGTTCCTTCCTGAATATTCAACTATGGCTGATCAACTACTTCATCAGCCTCAATTTCTGACTTTGGCCTCAGTTCCTGAATATTCAACTATGGCTGATCAACTACTTCATCAGCCTCAATTTCTGACTTTGGCCTCAGTTATGGGAGCTCTCACTGCTTATGAGACCCGGACTTCATCAGCCTCAATTTCTGACTTTGGCCTCAGTTATGGGAGCTCTCACTGCTTATGAGACCCGGCAATAGATAACACGACTCAATTTATCAACATACACTCCTACCTCTTCACTCAAGACTGCTTTGTCTGTACCTGTCACTGCTCCTGTTATGAATCATACTTCTCAACAGGCTCCATCTCCACAGGCTTGATCTAAGCTCTTTTGTAAATATTGCAAGAAGGAAGGACACCACATTAAGACATGCTTCAAGCTTCATCCTGAGTTACGTTCCTTAGGTACTAGTTGTGGTCGGCGACCCCCTCAGTCTCAACCCTCTCGTACACCAGAATTGCTGACCAATGATATACATTCTACCACTTCAGGCTCTACTATTCAAGTTATTGAAGATCTTCGTCGTCAACTTGATGCTTTTCAGTATATCACCTCTACATCCGCTGCACAACTCTCTGATATTTTTTTATTGGTTCTTCAGCTAACCCTTTGGTCTCTGGTGTGAATGATCTCTGGATTTTTGACTCTGGTTGTTCTTTTCATATGACTTGTAATACCTCACTTTTATCTTCTGTATTCACTTCATCTTCTCTTCCTCCTATCTACATAGCTGCTGGACAACCATTGTCTATTACTCAATATGACTCTATTACCCACAAATGATCTATCTGGCCATCTAACACTTGGTCCCGTCTATGTGGCTCCATAGTTGTGCTTGAATTTAATTTTTATTAGCTCTTTATATATGGCTAGCTTGCTTGTCTTATTTTCTTCTGATACTTGTCTTGTGTAGGATCCACAGATGGGCAAGACGGTTGGGGCGGGTCGTAGGAGGCACAAGTTGTATTTTTTGAAATACCTTCACCTTCCAGAGTTCATACATCCATGTTCTCTTGTTGCTTCTGTTTGTTCGTCAAAACTATCTACCTTGCTTCCTGCCAATTTGTAGCATAGAAGACTTGGTCATGTGTCTACTAAAAGGCTGGAGAGTCTTATTCAGTATCAAGTATTTGGTCCTATATCATCTAGTTCTAATATTGAGTCATGTACTGGTTATAAATTAGCTAAATTCACTGCTTTACCATTTAAAATGAGTACATTTGTATCCACTTCCTTATTTGATTTACTACATTCTGATATTTGGGGGCCAGCTCCTCTGCCTTCTTCATCTGCCTACTCATATTATGTTAGTTTTATCGACGATTTCTCTCGTTATATATGGGTTTACCTACTTAAGAATCGCTCTGACGTACTTACTTCTTATTAAGCCTTCACTGCTATGATATTCACTCGATGGCAATCTCATATTAAAGTTTTCCATTCTGACTATATCAAAGAGTACCTATCCTCTACCATGCGCTCTATCATGTCCTCTCATGGGACTATTTTTCAATAGTCATATCCCTACACTCATGAGCAAAATGGTATTACTGAACGCAAACATCATCATATCCTCGATACCGCTCGATCCATGCTCATTTCTTACTCTGTTCCTTATTGTTTTTAGGTTGAGGTCATTCTCACTGCTACTCATGCTATTAATATCACTCAATCTAGCTCTCTTTCCGGTACTACTCCTCATAGTCGTGTTTATACTCATCCTCCTCATTATGATTTGGTCCGCATTTTTAGTTGTCGTTGTTTCATTCTTCTATCATCTCACGAACGTGATAAATTGTCTCCCAGAGTTGTTTCTTATATCTATTTAGGAATTAGTTCGGAACATTGAGGTTATCATTGTTATGATCCTGCAAGTCGTCAAACTCATATATCTCGTTACATTCAGTTTGAAGAGGATTTTCCATATTATTCTGCTTCTGATGACTTCAATTTTCTCCACTCTACTGATTATGCTTCCCCGTCAGCTACATCACTCACTTCTTCACCTCAGTTTTCCTTCCCATCTCCTTCTGTTGACTCTTCCTCACCCGAGCCTTCTCTTACACCATCTGATCCCTATCCCGTGGATATGATACTCACTCTAGAAAATACTGTTGATCTCCACGCACCTGTGTCAACATCTCCCCCGCATGAGGTTCCTCTTGCTTTTCATCGAGACAAATGCTCACATGTCATGCATGCCCGGTATGCTTCAATTACTTCCTATTCACCTATCTTTCATAACTTTCTTACTGCCATTAATACTACCGTTGAGCCAAAGTCCTTTCAAGAGGTAGTTCGATTTCCAGAGTGGCGATAGGCTATGGCTGAGGTTTCAGGCATTTAAGCAAACACATAACTAGGATGTTGTTCCCTATCCCCCTGGGATCTCTCTTGTTGGTAGTAAATGAGTTTATAAGGTCAAGTATCGTCCTGATGGCACTATTGAACATCGAAAAGCTCGTTTAGTGGCTCGAGGTTTTACTCAGCAATAATGTATTGATTATGAGGAGACATTTGCTCCTGTTGCTCAGATGCCCACTGTTCGTACTCTACTTACGGTTGTTGATGCTCATCGTTGGCCATTATACCAGATGGATATCAAGCATATTTTTCTTCATGGTTCTTTATCTGAGATAATATATATGCAACCGCCTCCAGGGTCTAATATTCCTCCGAGACACGTATGTCTCCTTCGTCGTGTTGTTTATGGTCTCAAGCAGGCACCCCATGCTTGGTTTGAGTATTTTCGTGATGTCGTGCTCAAGGTGGGCTTTATGGAGAGTCATCAATATGCTTTTTTGTTTGTTCGCACTACATCGTGTGACAGAATTTTATTACTCATTTATGTAAATGATATAATCATTACAAGAGATGATGATGCTGGTATACAGTTCGCAAAATCTCAATTACAACAACAGTTTCACATGAAGGATCTTGGATCTCTTGCTATTTCTTAGTCTAGAAATTTTTCAAGGCTCGCGGGGTGTACTACTGTCTCAACAGAAGTATCTCTTAGATATTCTAGATCACGCTAAGCTAACTGACGATGTAACTGCTGATACTCCACTCCAACAGAATGTCAAACTTCGTTCTAGTGATGGTGAGCCTCTATCTGATCCTACCCGATATCGACATCTTATTAGCCAGTTGGTCTATTTGTGCATCTCTCAACCAAATATCTCTCATGCTGTTGGTATTGTCAGTCAATTTGTTAGTGCCCCACGTTCTGCACATTATGCTGCCTTATTACGAATTCTTCGGTATCTCCGGGGTACTAACACTCACTCTCTTCTGTTTTCTGCTACATCCAAGTTAGAGCTTTGTACATATTCTGATGCTGATTGGGCTGATGGTCCCACTATCAGGAAGCCTACCACAGGTTATTGTATATTTCTTAGTGATTCCCTTATTTCCTGGCGGAGTAAGAAACAAGATGTTATTGCTCTTTCCAACACCGATGCAGAGTATCGTGCAATATCCACAACAGCTAAAGAGATTATTCATCTTCGTCATCTTCTCAGTGATTTTAGTATTTCTGTTACGATTCCTACTCCTCTCTATTGTGATAATAAGAGTGCCATCCAGATTGCTAATAATCCAGTATTTCATGAGAGGACCAAACATATTGAGATTGACGCTCATTTTGTCCGTCAACAAGTTATCAAGGACAAGACAATTCTACTTCCTCATGTCTCATCTGCTGACGAGCTTGCAGATTTCTTCACAAAGGCCTTACTCGTTCATCGATTCTAGTTTCTTGTACGCAAACTCACTTTGTTTGATCCAACATGAGTTTGAGGGGGGCTGTGGATAATATTGTGTTAGTAGTGGGTTTAGTCTCACATTGGTTATGAGAACAAACATCACCCTCCTCTACTTGTATATATATATGTACACACTTAATATTCAATTCAAGGGAAATTTACCCAAGACTCTTTGTCTTACTTTAACAGGTGAAACTCTGATTTATTCAAAACGAAAAATGGGTGAAAGTTTAATTAGGATATTAGGATATGTAGTATCTCCAAGTACAAAAATACACCAAGAAAACCGTTGAGGTGACCAATTTTAGAGTAAAATAACAAGTAAAACTGTTGAATAGAAAATGTAGCATGCGCGAAGAGAGTGCATCGAGAAATTCGTGCATATCACTGCTAAAGTTTGCAGGGGAATTTTTGTTAAACCAATTTCATCTGTTTAATGAGCGATTTTGAAATTTAAGAAAAAGGATCTTATGGTACTCCACAGATTTACTTCCATAAAAAGAAATGGTATGTTTTTTAACTTTTCCTCTTTTTCTTATTCCATGTGAAAAAAGGTCCTATTTAAAATGAAATTTTAAGGAGAGTGTTCAATTAGGTGTCTAATTTTAACTGGATAATTTCAGTAATAATACTGAAAGTTACTAGTTGTTTGCTCTAAGTGTATGAAAGCTTTAGCCTCTCTTTTTTCTCTAGCCCTGTTTGGATGCCAAGATACTGTGTTCTTCATTATGATCCAAGTTTGAATCAATGCTTTTGAATCTCTCACTTTCATTCCAATAAACTCACATATTTTTCTAATTTATTATCTAAATACCAACTGAAACTTGTCAATTGAATACTTAATTCCTGTGAAATTATTCAGTCTCATATAGAATGGTCCAAATGCAGCAAGTAAAGGTAAAATACTACAGAAGAGTATAAATACTACTTTTTAGAATTAAAACAAAGTTTATCTCTCGATCAAAATACATACATTTGTTCTCATGTACTGGAAATGAACAAAATTGTAGATATCTCAGTCATCTCAAAGTCATTGATCAACTTAAAAAACAAAAAAAAAAATCTTTGCATTTCCGAACAAAAGTTGTAACTTATTGTTACAAACTCGAGAGCTCTTCATATTCTTCTTCATCATCATCATCCCTAGTATGACCAGTAAGACGGTAACAAGTATCTGTAGAGCCTGTTTCATTAAGAAACCACACATACATACTTAGATGGTAACTGTTGTCCCGATCAACATGTATTGCCTCTTGGAACATCTCCTCTGCTCTCTCGTTATCACCTCGGGCACGCCATAAGAATATCGCATACCTGCTGATCGCCTCTGAATCAATCGGTTCAGACTTTACTGACAAACTGAAATAATCATTGGCTCTGTTCAAAGAAAAATCAGAGTTTTGATCAATTTTCAGTCATAAAATTCACCTTGAACTGATTGAGTTGTAATTAACTGTGCGCAACAAAATCGTTTGACTACATGGACAATGATTTCATTTATTTGAATTTTGTTCCATTACAGTCAACAGTTGAGTTCACTGAAACCTATGTATGTAATCTCACCAGGGTTGATCAAAATCTGGTCAGTGTTGAGCTCAAACTATACTAAGATTCTAATGCAATGTCAACATAAAAGGAATATTGTACGAATCAAAATTGTCAGTTATCTCTCAGTCTCAAACTATGAATCAATTCTAATTCAATGTGGCGAGGCAAAAAAGAAATAACTAAATTTTCTCGTACAGAAACATGAATTAAAGGAGAAAAAATAACATTGTGCAAAAGCAAAAAAGTGCAAGATTTGTGATTCAGATGGCAAAGACTATGATTTGCATGCATAACCTGTCAAAAATTGAGCTCAATGAAACCTATATTTGAAATCAGGGTTTGATCGAGAACTTAAGCAGTATTGAGCTTAAACTATATATACTTACATTGGCAAATGTTGGCATAAAAGAAAATATTTGTACCTATCCAATCATTAGTTATTATCAATCTCAAAGTACAAGTTCAGTTCTAATTTAACATACAAAAGATTAACTAAATCGGAAAAATTAGTAATGCTATCAGATTGAAAACTGCGAAGATTGTGATTTGCATGAATAACCAGTCAAAATTGAGCTCAGTGCGACCTATATAGGAAATCAAATTAAGTCTTGATCAAGAACAAGGTCATAATTTACGGTAAGCTACACTTAAAACTCCAACGCTATCGACACAAAACAAAACTTCCATACCTCTCGATATCGTTCTCAAACAAATAAAGAAATTGTGCATAATTCGAAAGAATCATCGAGTCCCTCTGCCCCGTAACAATTAAATTCTCATAAAAAACCCTCCTCTTTATGTAATCAACAGACAGATCATCCCCAACCTCTAGACAACCACCCCACACTTTCTCCTCTGATTCAAAAATCATTGATCCAATCCCACAAACAAACCCATCCAAAGCGTTCACCATAAACTCCATCATCATAACAAGAAGCCCAATTGCAATCTGAGGCGAACTAGAGAACACTCTCTGAAATAACCACACAATCGAAGATTTCCCATCCCTCGAAACTCTATCAAGAATCTCTTTGTCATCAACCTGTATAGCTGACATTTGCAAGTTTTCGAGCACACAAGCCAAAGTCCAAACTGCATTGCCTATAGAACCGAGCTCTGAAGGATTTGCTAGTTTAATATGCGCGAGTTTGTCGTTCTTTCGCTTGAGTTGGAGGAGGCGAAGGGAGAGGGGGATGTTAGAGGGGTTGAGCTGGTGATTGAGGGTGAAAGAGGGAGGGGGGATGAGCCACGAAGGCTGAAGAGTTGAGAATTTTCCGGCTTCTCGGAAATTTTGCTTTGTGGGTTTTTGAGGGTGGGAGAGGTTGAGGGTGATGGGTTTGAAGAGGAGAGAGTGAGGGTTGAGGTTGTGATGGAAGGAGGTGGGAGGAGAGAGATACGCTCTCATGGTTTTTGTTTTGGTGACGATTTTGGGCGTGATTTTGGAGTCGAGAGTAATTGAGGGGGAGAGAGAGAGGGAATGAGGGAGAGAGAGAGGGAATGAGATTATGGAGAAGAAGAGAGCAGTTGAGAGAGACAGAGAGAGGGAGAGAGAGAGAAGGAGACAGAGAGATTGGGTGTGATTTTGGAGAAGAGAGCAATTGAGAGAGAGAGAGAGAGAGAGAGAGGAGGAAGAGAAACAAACTCGCGCGAAATGATGGGATCCAATCTTAAAAATCGGGGGCCAATAACTGAAGACTAGGAATTTTGTTGCGGAAAATGGTTTACTCACCCAGTGTGTTGGAAAAGTAACGTTTTGGGTTAATGCACGGAGTTGAGCACGGTTCGGCCCAAACCAACGAAGCTGATCGCACCGATCTAATTTTTACGGTTCGGTTGGTTTAAAAAAAGAGTACACAGTTCGTTCAGTTTTAGAATGTGTAAAACCGAAATAACTAAATTGACCGATCTCAACATAATTTTCTAAAATTCATTAGTAAATAGATGATTTATACTAATATTCTTATGTATCTTAATTGATAATTAATTTTGGTTTTTAAGTTATTGACATGCTTCCTTTTCTCTTCAATTTGGAAATACGAGATGAGTGAAAGGTTTAAAAATCATTTTAGCTAAAAATTCTCTAACTTGATATGTCTAAGTCCCAACCGAACAAATTAAATAAGCTGAATTAAGCCGCATTGAACCGATTTGATTTGATTCGGTTTGGTTTTGAATCTAGTTTGATTCAATTTAGTTTGTTAAAAAATAGCAAAAACCAACCGAATCGATGTTGTGCGCGGCGGCCAAATTGTTGTGCTTCGAGGAACCAAACCAAAACATCGAGATAGAAGGCTAAACAATCCAAGATAACGGCACAAACACAAACAACCAATTTTTACGAGGTTCAGCAAGTTGCCTACGTCCACGGGGCAAGAAGGGGATGAGTTTTTACTAATAGAGAAGAAGAGTATAAACTGAGATTACAAATCACTTAAAACAACCAACTAATCTCACCAACAAATTTCTAATTCTCTCCAAATAAAACCCTATCTAATAGCTCAGAAAATACCTCTTTTCTATGCTCCAAATATCCCTCAATCAATGCTTAATCAAAGTCCAATCAAAACCAAAGAAACTCTAAAAACATGTCTATATGTATAACAAAACACAATCCCAAACAGATTGAGATTCTAAAAAGCGAGTTTGCCACATCCGGGGTTGGCAGACACCATACCCCTGAAAACATGGCAGATTCTGTCATAACTGGGTATGGCAGACCACACCCATGTCAACAGGGATAGATTCTGTCACCTGGGTGTGGCAGACACCACATCAGGGTGTGGTGGAGCCTGTCTTGCTTATTTTTTACGTTTTTTCTCAAAAAATTTCGTCGTTTTCATAATTCTCCACCTCGGCGAAGTTTTTCCAAAACTGAACCGACACCAACTAAATCAAACGTCTCACTTATTGCGTCTAGTATGAAGTAGAACGAAACCATGACAATAGACTCAATCCACAACAAGTCGAGAACCCAAACGATAATGCGAACAAAATCCAAATGTCGGTATCAACTCACCAAATCGGCTGCATCATAAATGACTGCCAATGTATCCTCTTGCCCAAGGAATCAAGCCTTCACGTAGTTCACCCAATGGCCTCCAAAGGCCCTCAATCAAATAGAAGAGTTCTCAACCATTTTCCAACATCACCAACTAATCTGTAACTGATAGCTCTCCCAATGGCCCCAAAGTGAAACAATCTAAACACCTCCACCTGAGGTGAATCAACGGCCATAACCAAATAAGAACTATGTCCACCAGCTGCACTCGAATTCAAAACCAACTCATCATCTGCATCCAAATCCAAATGATCCCTAAATTGTGTCACCTCAGCTAGAATCTCAAACGATGTAATATGATCTGGAGTATGTGGAGTAATCTCCACCCAACGTGGAGTAGCATCACTCTCCACCCGCTACGATATCTTAACGATCTGATCAACACTCTCCACCCGCCGAGAGTCAAATGTGCCATACCTGCTCAGAACAAAATCAGAAGCCAATACCTGATAACCAAACACGCCTCTGAATTCCAAATGTGCAATCAGATCAAATCTCACATCCTCGATGTGACCAAATGATGGGCAACCAAACATCCAACGCAACCCAAAATTTGAAGCAACTCCACCAGATCCAAAATCTCCAAACGCAGCAGTCGGGAACCTATGAACAAGATGACCCAAATATGTCGAAGCCCGAACACCAAAACCAATGCTCGACATCAAACGCCGATCCTCCTCTAGTAAGGAACAACTCACCAAATCTGACATTTCATCTCGTTGCCCTAATGTTTCCTCTCCAATCACACGGGGCTTGGTTGCAATCCACAAATGCCTAGAACAATCATCAACTACGGAAACTAAATTTCGATTACCACCCAATAATGCCTTCTTGGTGTTGGCCTTCTTGTTTTGATGATGATTTACAAATAATTTACTACTAATGTTGTTTGTCTAGTGTTTGTGCATTCCTATGTATTGTAGACAAACAACGTAGTTGGAGGATGGATGGATTGCGCCATAACGACGATATCAAATGGAGGTTGGCGGAATTATGGAGTGAAGCATCGTACAATTCAAGTTCAAGATCCAAGTTTAGCTTCATCCGCAACGTGTACCAAGTTGAGCTACAATGAAGATCAAGATCATTGCTTGGGTATATTTAGTATAGGTTTATATCATGTGTGTTAATTCTATAAGCTCAAACATACACACACATATATATTTGTGATTTTCGTAACTATAAGTGTTTTTATGCAAAATAAGTTTTGGACTATATTTACATCATAAACAACTTTTATTATGTCCATATAAATATTCCATAAGTTTTCAAAACTTGTTTTGAGTCAAAAATAACAATCACATGTTTTTCATATATACGTCTTTTAGTGCTTTTGCAGAATACAGTGTTTTTCACAAATTATAAATGCAAATTGAGAAATTCTTTTTCTAACATGTTTGTTTTCATGTTTACAAACATTTCTCAAAGTTCATCAAGTTTGGAATTGATTTGTTATGTTTAATGGAATTTACAAAATCATAATTTTCATTCGTGCATGTTCGTGCATGTTTTACAAAATAGATGAGTTTTCATAAATGGAAAATGATATTCAAGAAATTCTTTCTTTGACATGTTTATCTACATGTTTAGAAACTTCCCTAAAACTTTTACTATTTTTGAAGTTGATTTACTGTGCCTAATTGATTTTACAAAATCGTGTATCACATCAGATTTTTAGAAACTGTATTTTTGTGTTCAAACATTTATTTCTCTCAACTGGAAAAATATTTTTCAGAAATTCTTTCTCTTACATGTTATTCTACATGTCTAGAACATTTCCACAAAATTTCATAATTTTTGGAGTTCATTTACTATTTTAAATTGATTTTACAAAATAGCTGCGCACTGCTACAGTAATCCGGTCGACCGGACCGGTCTCTGGACGTTGGTTACTGTAGCTAACGGCTATAATCCCAGATTTTGATATATCCATTTTTTTGTCTTTTTGCTTGGTTTTCTTGGGTTTTTGGGCTTGTTTCATGAGCCTATATATACCCCATGCCCTCATACTTCTAAGGGTACTCAAGAAATGTTTTAAACAAGTTTAAAGAGTTTTAAACAAGTTTAAAGAGTTTTAAACAAGGGTTTAAGTGTGTTTTAGTATTTGTTTGGTTTGAAGATTGTTTTCACAAGTGGAGAAGATTATCTTCTTGTTTGGGCTCCAATCTCCATCTCTCCTTCTTGTCATCTATTGGAGAAGTTTTCTAAACTCAATCTCTAGCTTTACATTTATATACTTGTTTGATTATAATTGTTCTTAAGGTAGATTTTATATTTGAGTTTAGTTGATTTGATTTTATTTATCTCTTTGTACACACACAACCATTGAGCTTATTGTATTTGCATACATTGTATAATTTAGGTTGTGGGATTGTGTGACTTAGAGAGTGAGCTTACATTGAGTTCTCATCTATTGTAGAGAACAATCTTGTTGTATTTTGAGCCTAATTGTGAGGAGTCACTTGTAATACACTTGTACACCGAGAGAAGTGTGTGGTGAGAGACGGGGTCGAATCCAAGAGGAGTGGCGTCGGTTGACGTGCCTAGGGAGAGGTTGTAACCGAGCACTTGAGGAGGAGGACACAGGCTAGGACCAACACTTAGTGTGTGAGGTGTGATTGCATAGTGATTGTATTGTGAGGTGTAAACGTTGTTCGGGTGAACGTAGAAAACCCGGTTGTGATAGTGGAGATCTCCTCGAGGTGAGGAGCGGGGACGTAGGTCGTGGGGACCGAACCTCGTAAACATATCCTTTTGTTTGTGATTGCATTGGCGCACTTGTTTTCATGTTCATATCTTACATCGTCATTGTGTATTGCTTATTGATCATTTTGCCCTATCACATTTGTAGTTAAATTGTTTACCCCTTGTGTTAGTTTCATATCCTTGCATATATCATAGGATATATCTCTTTGTTGTTCATATTGCTTATCCTAGCTTATATATAGTTGTTATATTTCATACTTACTAGGATAACTTATTAATTAATTTTTAATTGGTATTTAATCGGATTAGATTAGCATAAGACCCTAATCACCCCCCTCTAGGGTCTAACACTTGGAAGGCCCCCAAATGCCTGAATGAACACCACCTAAATGACTCTTCGATCGATGGATAGAAGTGCCAAATTCCACCTCGGTCTTCTTGCTCATACCAATGTGCTCACAGGACTTCAATCTGCAGGTCAAAGCACTTCTCAACAAACCATGCACGACACAACCAATCAAATACCCCAGCCTCAATAAATGCCACAGTCTAACCAAATCCAAAGAAGTCGTCAGCTCTCTACCAATCACCATGCTTCCAATCAAATAATATAAATTCTTCCTCCTGACGCCCTTCATTACAATAATGGACCCAAATGTGACCTTCAAACATGCATCCTCTAAGATCACCCTATAGCCTGTTGTCTCCAAAACTCCAAGCGAAATGATGTTCTTCTTCAACTGAGGAACGAACCTCACTTCATCCAACTCCCGAATAACCCCGTCACACATCCTAATACGAACGACTCTAATACCACTAGTTTTGCACAACTGTCAAATTATTGTGCTTCGAGGAACCAAACCAAAACGTCGAGATAGAAGGCTAAACAATCCAAGGTAACGACACAAACACAAACAACTAATTTTTACGTGGTTCGACAAGTTGCCTACGTCCACGGGACAAGAAGGGATGAGTTTTTACTAATAGAGAAGAAGAGTACAAACTAAGATTACAAATCACTCAAAACAACCAATAAATCTCACCAACAAATCTCTAATTCTCTCCAAGTAAAACCCTAACTAATAGCTCAAAAAATACCTCTTTTCTATGCTCCGAATATCCCCAAATCAATGCTTAATCAAAGCCCAATCAAAGCCAAAGAAACCCTAAAAACCTGTCTCTATTTACAACAAAATACAATCCCAAACAAATTGGGATTCTAAAAAACGAGTTTGTCACACCCAGGGTTGGCAGACACCACACCCCTGAAAACAGGGCAGATTCTGCCACAAGTGGGTATGGTAGACACCACACCCATGTCAACAGGGATAGATTCTGCCACCTGGGTGTGGCAGACACCACACCAGGGTGTGGTGGAGTCTGTCTTGCTTATTTTTCACGTGTTTCTCAAATTCCTTCACCGTTTTCACAACCGACTATGTGCTCACCCAATACTTTCAAATTTCGACTCATGCACTAGCACTCAGCATGCATGCATTTTATTTTAGAGAATAAATTGCAAGCAACACCCATCTTTCTCATGAATCGGGAGGGGAGTGCTAGCAAATATGTTGATCGATGTTCGTTGCAAATGAAAGCACACATTCGTGTTTCATGCAGTATATCCAAAAAAATATTGAGTTTTTATCATATTGGGCCCCTGAATTGTCATAATTCTAAATTTAACCCCAATTCCACATTCATCAAGCCGTTTTCGATATGACCCCCAAATCTATAAGTGGTTTTTAATAAGGCCTTAAAAACAATAAGTGGTTATAAGTAAGACAACCGTTTTAAATTATATGAAGAGATAGGGGTCTTATATAGAAATATGAGGATTTGAGGTATATAGAGTAACTTAATTGCACTTAAATACCTTATAGTTTTCTTAGTTTACACTTATATACCCTCACTTATTTTTTGGTTGCACGTACATACCCCAAGTTTTTAAAATTTGCACTTTAATATACTCAATTATGCAAAGATGAGAATTTTCTACCGAAACTTCTCATGCGACAATCAGATGCTAGCTTTACTATATTTTTACTCTTAAGAACTTTTTGTTAAAGCTAGAAAATGCCTATTTTAAAATACAATTAAGATAGACGTAAACTAGAATTCAGATATTTTTAACATAAACTTTAAGAATTAAAACAGTCTAAAATCAACATATGAGTGCCCCCATCAGAATTTTTAAACTAGAATTCAGATACTTTTAACATAAATTTTAAGAATTAAAAAGGTCTAAAATCAGCATATGAGTGCCCCCATCAGATTTTTTTTCTTACGTTTTCATAACTGAGGATATTAAAGTGCAATTTTTTAAAATTCTACGGTATATAGGTGCAACAAAAACAAGTATGTATATGTATATGCAGAGGAGGGGGAAACCATGAGGTATCTATTCCTTTATACAAATAGGAGGATCAGAGATTCACTGTTCATACTACAGTAGCGTTTACTGTAGCATTATTACTGAGCTAATAATTAATTAAAAATATTACTGTAGCCACGGGTACACTGTAGCATTTAAAAGGTGACTGTAGCAGAGTGGGATACTGTAACACTTTTAAAAATTCAAATCATGCCATATTAAAAAAGCGGGATTGCTGTAGCAAAAAAAAAAATACTGCGCTTTGCACGGACCGCAAACTAGTTTAAGTAAGCCCAAATATGTTTGATCTTTGGTCTGGACCCGTTGGACCCGAATGCTAATTGTCGGTTCAAGTCTAATTAAACCCCCTCTAAAACCCTCGCTGTCCTCTCACTCTTTCTCTCTCATTCCAGAATCAGAAAAATCCAAACCCTAGCAGTCGCCAGCTATGTCCCAAATCATCAGATCCAGTCATCGTCGTCTTCTTCCTCTCGCAAAATCCGCCGCGGCCCCGCTGCCGCCGCCGCCGACAGCCCCCGGAGATCCCCCAAAATCACGGAGATTCCTCAAGATCGGAGCTCTCACAACTCTCACCGCCGCCATTGGCACCGCCGCTTATGCAACTTACGGTATTCTTGGTTTATTTTGATTTGCTTTTCCTTCTTGTATTTTGAATTTTCTTGAAATTTGAGATTTTGGTGGTTTGATGGCAGCGTATAGTCTGGAGGAGGTGGGCCAGAAGGCCGGCGAGTTGCAGGCGAAGTCGAAACTTGACGTTGGCGACGACGCTTCTGCTTTCCAAGTATGTGACATTTTTTTATGAGTATTGTATGTAGCAAGTTGTAGAGAATTGGGATTTGCAGTCATTTACAGGTTTAGGGACTTATCTAATTGATGGAGCTTATGATAAGCTGCTGAAAATAGCCATTTGGTAATATAAGCTGCTTCCAAAAGCAGTTGACACGTTTGGTGAAACTGTGCTTAAAGAGCATTATAAGTGAAATTGACCAAGATGGCCATAACTTTAGCTACCTGTTTGTTGGTAGTAAGAAGTATAATTTTGGAAGAGATAAGGTTATATTGTCAAAATTTATATATAATTCTAGAAGAGATACGGTAATGTTGTCAAAATTATATATGATATGAAAATTGTGCTTAAAGAAGCTGCCTTTAAAAGGATAATTGGGAAAATAGCCCCGTAAAAGGAGAAGCAGTTTCAATAAGCATGCATATTAAGGTTTATCAAACACATTTATTGACTGCTTAAAAAAATAAGCAGAAGCAGCCTAAAAAGAGCAATGCTAAACTGGCCCTAAGAGATATTGGGGGTTTTCTGCTGGAGTAAGTCTAAGGTATTAGTGGTTATTTGAGAATGCAAGAACGGTGTTCATGGGCTTCCAATTAGTTTTGAGGATGAAAATGAGGTGGCTTAAGAGCTGTTGTCATCCTAGCATGTCATCATTGTAAATTTGTTATCGTCATTATCAATTATCGTGGTTAGCCATATGTTCAGCCAATACAGGTACTGCAGGTATTTATCAAACTCAAATCAAATGGATTTGATAAAAGAACTCATGAGACATAAGAGGTGCCAAATGTTTGCAATATAGGTTGATGTTGTTGAGAAGCCATAATATAAAAGCCTACAGGAAATTGAGGTTAAGGAAATTATGGGGATACCATTACATCATGACCGAGGCTTCAAGATTTACGGCTATAAACCAACTTAACTCATGTAGCCTCACATAAAATTGCTCAAATTATATCTTTACGGAAATTTGGGTTCTCGCAGGAGATAAAGTGATGCATAGTTACCCGGTTGTTGAAGGAAAATGGGGCACTATCCTTGAGAACATGAATACACAAAACAGCTAAGGTAGGACTGAGATTCTTTTTTTTTATAATAATTACTGATGTTGAAGATGCAAACAACAAGTGATTGTGTGTCATTCAGTTTAATGGGCTAGGTACTAAATCTCTGTTTCTTTGAGAAACCTGCCAGGCTGCAACAATACCTTTATGTTCTATTTTGGCCTCCTGCAACATGTCTACTGAAACCAACATAAATCATTGCAGCTTGCAGTTATAATGAAGCATAGGCATGAGGATTGTTCTCCTACATTTCACATAGAATTTTGCCAATGGATTAGCAAATATACATTTAGCTCGCTAACATAAGCTTGGAGCTATATGTAGATCCCTGCTTTCTCTACTGTAATTCCAGAAGCCATAGTTAGAAACCTGGAATAACAACTGAGAGTGTACTAATTTCCTAATTGGATAATGTAGCAGTGCTTATGATACTGCATTGAAACAACACTTATACTAAAATTGGTTATCGACCCCAAAAGACACACTTAGTATATATAACACCTGTCACCTACTATTAGTTATGACGAAGGTTCTCTTAGCAACTGCTAATATCAAAAATAGATGTAATGAGCTATGATGTGCAACTCAGTTTTGTGGATGAATTCATCCAAATTTCTGCTGCTTTAAGAAATTTGAACAGATGCCTATGCTTTAGTTCAATTTTTCTCTATCATATCTAATGGAAAGGCAACATGTCTGCTAACTACTTATTTACTTAAATTACAATGGCTTTCTCTTCTCAGTTCTTGTTGAAGCATATGCATGATTACTCGTCTTATGCTTCAGTTCTGGTTAAATACATAAAACCTAATTTTACTGATTTGGGACATGGATTTCTGACATGAGTCTCCAAGCTATAGTCATTTCCTTGCTTTGCATTGTTTTGAATATTCCCGACATGGCCCGATATATCCCCGATAAACCCTTTTGCAGCGCGCGCCATAACTGATATTGTCTCTAAATATCGTTTACCGCTTTTTGGTTATTTTGGGTGATATATTCCCGATATGGTCGATATGGCAACCGATAGGTTGGTCGGTGTATCCTTTTATATGGCTTGTCGCAAAACAGTATACTTTGTTTGGTATTTTTTGGGCCAGATATCACAGTTTTCCCATTATATCAAATGACATTTTGGCCTGAAAAATCAAATGAAATGTTGCAATGCTGATTTGTACTTTTGTTTATTTTACAAGGTTGATTAGTGATCCTAAATATATATTATTTATATTTTGTATGCTTAGACGTCATTGAGTATGTTGAGATTATATTTTAGTGCATTATAGTATATATGCAAACATCTGTTATGGCATTCCGATATTTACCATATATCCTTGATATTTCCCTGATATCTGCAATCTGATATCAATTTTGGCCATCCGATATTTCCCCGATGTCCGATATTAAAAACCTTGCTGCTTTGTGTGATGTGAGTTTGAGAAGCAAAAGTTAGAATATGAAGCAATATAAGGAAAAGGACTAATGAGAGAATATAAAGAACATGTGGTAATGAGAGAATTTAGCAAAGCATATCATAATGCAATATGACCATTTATTAACACAAAACATAAAGTACGCCAAAGGGCTAGAATTTTTTTTTCTTACTACCTTTTTTTATCTGATCATATGATTAGCTATTGTAAGTTAACTTGAAACTGATCACTATATTCTTTCCTGTGTTTGTGATAGCTTTGAAATGATAGCACGCGTTGCCAACTGTTTGTCTTTTCTTTACCCCCTTATAATCATGTCTTATAATTGATGGATGGTCTTTTTTTTTTATCATTATACAGAAATTTCGGGCTATGGCTTACGCTACCGCTATGAAAGGTGAAGAATCTGGACGATGCTCTGATTATTCTCTTTTGAGTTGTTCAACCTTTAAATAGCTTCTAATTCATAATTATCCATTTGAAATTCGTAATAAATTCTGCTTGTATTATCTCTTCACACTAGTTTATTGATAATTGCCTGCTTTAATGGTTTGATTATTCTGGACCAACTATATCAGAATATTGCATGTTTTGTCCCCAAAGATGGAGAAGAGAATTGTAGTCCTGAGATCTACTAAGATACCAAGTATTATACAGCCTCATATTCCCTTGATTTTGGAAACTGAACAAACAAAATGTTAAAAGTGGCAAGAATTCGAAATGACTTGATAGAGTGTTGAAGGTACACTTATTATTTGATGAATGCACCTAATGGCTTTATACTAGAATCCTAACATTTTACAAGCAAGTTGTCCTTTTTATTTTTTTAAAATTGAAATTAGCCCCATCATAATTATTCATGTATCCTGTGAAACATACTCTTCTTGTGCCTAGCCTCATTACATCATCATCACACATGCATATTGTTTTTGTGCTACCGTAACCAAGTCTATCTCTCATCAAAATAAGGGTATTACATGGAGCATTTAAAAGTGGAAAATGCTCTACATTAAAATTGACCAAGTTTTAGAATTGACTATGCATGTAAGAACATGCTACTGGATTGTAAGCCTCCAAAGACCACAAATGTGTTACTTTGAGTTCTGGAGCAATACATACTGTAAACTCTCTGATGAAATAGAGCCATATCTTGCAACTCTTAAGTTTCAGCATTTTATTCTTACTCAGACTCTTGGTCTTTGAGAGAACCAAATGAACTTGCAGAGTGTAAATTTAGCAGTGATCTTTTGATTATGACCTCAGAGGCTGAGACAGGATAACCATTCTACGAAACAATTGTATATTAATAAATAAGTGACATAAAAATCATCAATAGCTCCAATGCAATGACATAATGATCTAACTTTGTGTTCTCAGCCATCACAACCTTTTCTTATGGACACTAATGATTTTGACAATTACTTCCTACTTCTGTAAAGGAAACAACGGTTATCAGTCACAATCCTCATGTTCCTTTGGTTTTATTCCATGCAACATCAGACTGTCATCCATTGTTCTTTTCATATTTCTAGCAGATATACACAATTTTACCTATTATGCCTCATTGTATACTTGATCTACTTTTCTTAATGTTCTAATGAAGAGTCTACATTTATTAATGGTTTTATATCAATTTATCCACATCGACATGATTTAAATCTTCTTGCTGCATCTTAAAAACGGCTATACATATATGTGTGTGTGTGTGTGTGTGCGCGCTATACATATATGGTAATGTTTTCCTAAGGTGACACCATAGATTCCCACCTAAGGAAGCGGCCTAAAATCACATCATTCCCTAATTTTTTTTGCGATCCGCTCCGTTGAACTTGATCTACACGTTCTTAAACCCAAACACACCAATTTTGGGGGTGAACCCGTCGTGTTTTGACCTTTCGTTGAGCCGTATAAAAAGTTCTATTCATTCGAAATCGTTAAAATTACGGTGAATGGATGAAGGGTCAAAATACGATGGGTTCACCCCAAAATTGGTGTGTTTGGGTTTAAGAACGTGTAGATCAAGTTCAACGGAGCGGATCGTAAAAAAAGGGAATGATTAATTATCATTGTTAATTAATTATACTATATGTCACTTCAAGTTTGTATAATTTGGTCCCTAAAACTTTCAACATTATTGTAAAACTCTACATCATATTAATTATTAGTAATTATGATAATATATTAATAGATAATTGCATATTAATAAAGTATATATAGAAAGAGTTGAAAATATAGAATTGTCCTAAAATTATACCATGTCACTCATATAGAAAAATTACAAAGAGCATTCTTATGTTTACGTAACAGGGTAGAAGGTACAAACATAAAATTTTAGAAAACATTAAGATATTTAAATGTAGCAAGATACAAGTGGGGGTACATAAGTATAATTTTGGTAAACTATAAGTACAAAAGCAAACCCATAGCCTTCCTATATGTACCATCAAAGACCCCGACATATACAATAAGAACATATACGATCAAATTCCAAACACAATGCTAATTAAGCCTAATTAAACCGGATGAAGCTTAATTAACTCCAACCCCTAGCCTAATTAAATTAGGAAATGTAAGAACATTCACTTATGCAAATATCATACCTGATGTTATTTGAAATCTAATAATCAAGAAATAAAACGCACAGAGAAAGAAATTTAAAAATCATAAGCAAAATTTAGAAAAGGATCAAATCATACATTCGTCAATGAGTTTCCTTCATGATCCTACATGATGCCTAAAATCTAAGAAGTGAGGAGATGATGGCAGGGGGGGTGCGGTGATGATGAGGATAATAATAACCATCTTTGGCAATTGATGAATTAAGATAGCGGGACGACGTTGCCGGAGCGAAATCGTAACCAATGGAATGGTTGCTGGAGCGAAATCGTAACCGACACGACAGAATGGAGAATGAAAGGAACGAAGGTTTAGGGTCCTGATTTATGACTTCTGTGTAACGAAAAACTTTCCAAGGACTATATTACCCCTATTTTTTATATTACATTCTATTACTAACTAAACTAAACTAATTATCGTGGTTAATTAATTATACTATATATCACTTCAAGTTTGTATAATTTGGTCCTTAAAACTTTCAACATTATTGTAAAACTACATCATATTAATTATTAGTAATTATAATAATATATTAATAGATAATTGCATATTAATAAAGTATATATGGAAAGAGTAGAAACATAGAATTGTTTTAAAATTATACCATGACACTCATATAGGCAAATTACAAAGAGCATTTTTATGTTTACGTAACAGGACAGAATACACAAACATAAAATTTTAGAAAAAATTAAGATATTTAAGTGTAACAAGATACAAGTGGGGGTACATAAGTATAATTTTGGTAAACTATAAGTTATTTTAAGTTCAGTTAAGCCTATAAAAAATTGAAACATTTGTTATCTACAAACAATAGTATATCATCTCATTGATAAATAACATTCATCATACAATGCGAGGCTAGATACATAGCTTATTTACTCCTCTATTCTTAAAGGAGGATCCAAATATTTACTGTTCATGCTACAATAAATAATACAGTAAATTACTATAGCATGAACAATAAATCTTTAGGTCATCCTTTAAGTATGCAGAATAAATTTACTATTAATGCTACAATAATTTACTGTATCATGAATAATATACTTTTAAGTATAGAGTAGTAGATATGATTTCTAATTTTAAGCATACAATAATCAAATCAAATGTATTAAACCTTAGAGGGAGGTATGTTCAAAATGCAATGCTTAAAAAAAGAATCATATTTTGAATAAGTATCAAGGTTTTGAATTATTTACTAAAATTATATACTTCGCTTAGAAAACTTTAGAATAGGCTTTCGAATGACTACTACAAGGTAGTGGACATGAGATAAATATTGAACAAATAAAATTTATGATATCAGATTGCAGAAATCAGGAATATGTATACAATACTGGGCATCATATGAGATAATATTCATTCATAACATAATATTGTAATATGTAATCTAACATATTAATGAATTTTAAACATAACAATTTGCATCGAGATATATATGCTTAAGATTTTGGAGAGCCGAGAATGCAAAGATTTTAGAGAAGAATTGCGGCTTTTGTGGGTTTTGGGGTTTCGATATTGTTTCCCAAACATGATTCAAACCAGAGCCCACAATCAAATTAAAAATAACACAATTATTTTGATATCTTCAAAGGGATATATCAACCATATTTTTATAGCGGTCGATATATCAAAAAAATCACCAAATAAAAGAAAACAATATAAAATTTTATCGAGATAAAGTCCTTAACCTGATATATCGGCCGATATAACAATATATCAACTGATGTTTAATACCATGCCTATAAGAGCAAATATGTGAAAATTATTTACATATTATTCCATTGATTTTAAGCATCCAATAATTCGATGTTATTCCCTTAAAATTTTAAAATTGCTCATAATTTTAGGGACTAATATTAAATTATTAAAAATTTAAGGGACATTATAAATAAGTCATATTTAAAAGAAGAGTTAATTTTTAAAAAAACGTCTCAACTATAAGGATTGTCTCAAAAAACCCACTCAACTGATTCAATTTAATAAATCCCCTTATTATGGGGGTGTTATAGATAACCCCTCTCAATTTTGGTACTATTTTAGAAAACACCCCTCAACTATGGCGTGTCTCATAAAAACTCCTATAATCCTTTACACTTCTATCAATAAATCCCCTTAACATAGTTACTTTAATACGTGATTTGGATAAAATACCCTCTTGAAGAAAGCCATTTTAGTAAAAAAGAAACACTCAACCGGTAATAAAAGGACAACAACCAATTTACAATTCTTTTTCCCTCTATATCACCTCTTTTTCTTTTATCTGGCAAAAACCAATGTAATTTTTTTATGGTTGAGGGATATTTTGATCTTTTCTAGTCGAGTACTTGTCACATAAAAGATAAGACTCAATGCTCTTAGTTTTGAGAGGTTTGGTTTAAGTGATGAAAGTTCACAAGGGTTAAATCAAAATTTTTACGTTGAGATAGATCACCTACAAAACACTCAAAACTTGACGGAGATTTACTCAGGTTCAAGTAGTTTTTTTTTTTTTTTGGGGGGGGGGATGTTGACATGCGCTCCATAATTGAGGGGGAGTTTTCAAAATCAACCTTTAACCAAAACCACAACTTAAGGCACACGTGACATCAATTTTATAAGAGTAGAGTCTATAGCAAGACCATCACTCAATGAATTGATTTGGGTTATTCATCCTTAAATTTATCCTATACATCAACTCTAAAAATCTTTTGCTATAAAAATCTCTAAGAGAAACTTAAATCTTTATTTGGGATGGGTATGTGATCCTGCTGATTGCCCTTGTCTTTCATGATTTATAATAAATTATTGGATAAAGTAAATTAAGTTATCATTTTATATTACTCACTTTCTTATAAGTTTATGAAGCTCATAGCTCGGATATGAGTATTGTTGCGGAAACTGTATTCTTCTAATTCCTTAACATAATTTTTTGGATATTGTTTGACATTGGATGGATATGAATTATTTTGTTAAAATACAATCACTATGAGTGCATAATATGTATAAATCATTCTCAAAGTATATTTTATAATTTTTAGAAACTAGAGAGTAATCGTTTTGACAGATAAATTAATAGTTGTTGAGATGTAAAAGAGTACAATATCATATTTTGGAATTGATCTGGAATTGATCACATAATGTATGTTTTCGTTCTTGATTGAATTTGCACATTCCAACTTAGAAAATTCTAAAAAAAAGTTCATGGATATATACAATACTCGGTCGCCGGATAAACAATAGGTGGGTGTGATTTTTTATAACTAAACAAAATCCTTAATGATTGGATAGAACCTACATTTGTCTTTGATGAATTCAAGAATTTATTTTCTTCATTAATAATAATAGTTTTTTTCCATATTGGTCCCTTACATCATTAATATTTTGAAATTATACATTCAAATTACTAATTAATCTTAAATCAATAATATTTTAAGGTTTTAAACATCACTATTTCTCTGGAAGATAAAATGTTAAATCTAACAAGATTTTACACATGGAAATATAAAAATATTAATATATTATGATAATTATAAATTTTTTTATAATCGTGTTATAGTAAATAAATAAACTTAAAGTAAATAATTAAATATATGACCACGTGCAATGCACGTGCATTCCACCTAGCTGTGATGTGTGTGGTAAATATGATATATATATATATATATATATATATATATATATAATATATAGAGAGAGAGAGAGAGAGAGAGAGACGAGAGAGAGAGAGAGAATGCTTGTACCAAGCACAAGTTTTTGTGCTTGTTTAGTGAAGGTGACATATCCCTTCCGCTCGTTGAAAATCGGGGCCCACATTCACATGAGTTGGGGAGTATTTGAGAATTGGAATGAGTAGATGGGAATAAGACACCTCACTACTTAAGCATAAAATTTGTGCGTGGTACCAAACATATTCATTTTCTCATATATATATTATATACTATAATAATATACTATAGCGGTAACTATGTGTAAATTGTATCACAGACGACTTTCATCTTTCATGCAGTTGACAAGCCAAAAGTTAATCTTCTGAGTTATTGAATAATTGCAATATTTGTGTTGCTTGTCCGTGGTTAATGGATTAATCTATATACATTATCTAATTAACAACTAATCTCTAATTGATGATGTTAAGGGATAATTTCATCCATTGGCTTTAATTTACAACCTCTTCAATGGAGTTAATATCCAATCTTCCTTCTAGTGTATAGTAAATTGGATTGTTCAAATGTAACCAAATATGACTATAATGCAGTTTCTGAAGTGTGTTTGAGGGATGGTGATATATGATTCCACCATTATCATGTGCAGTGCTGGAAAGCATACAACATGGTAGTCAAGGAATTAGATTTCTCAATCAATGCTGTATCGAACTAGTTGAAAATCCATGATGGCTTATTAATTTAACTGTGTTGTAGTATTAAGACGTTTGGTTCAGTTCGCAGTATGTAATTAGGCTGATTGATAGTCATGATAAAAACCGTCTTTTGAGTATCTATATGCTTGGTGCTTGGGGGACAGATGGCAGGGATGCTGCAATTGTGCTTGGAGGATTTGATCAGCACCACAACCGGCTACTTTATTGATCCTGATAATTAGAGATCTGAAAATGCTCAAAAAGTGGATAAACCAGCTTGGTGAAACCACATCAAACTATATGTTTCAAGAATTGTTTTTTTGGCATGCAGTAATTGAAAAAAAAATTCAGTCTGAACATGCCCCAGTGGATAAGAGAGTGACACAGTAACAGAAAGCTTTTCTATTATTCTAGGCAAATATGGTTCTAATACATATATATGTACATAAACTACAGCATATATCCGTTTTCCATAAACCTGGATTAACCAATGTGAACTTGCAACCTTATACATTTCCAGTCAATCACTGGTTTCGTTATGATAACAGTCGTAGCGAACTGAGCTGGCTACATGTGGTCGTGTTCGTACTGGCTACAAGTTAAATCCTTCTCTTCATTCTAATGACGCTAACTAAATGACAACATTATATGATGTATATGGGTCTTTTTAGAAATATACCCCCAATATCTTATATATTTTGAAAATGATCCCCTAAATCATCAATTCATCATCGCTGCCCTTTAAGACTCCAAATTATAGGCACCCTCAAGTCTTCCTCTCACTCTTAACTTCTAGAGGATAAATTTGATTGCTCCCTTACATTTTGTTGAAACGATATTATTTTTTTCATAAATGACTGAAATATCCTTAATTAGCTTAATTAATTTTAAAACAGTTTTCCTCTCTATTTTCTTGATGGCTGATGCACGCGAAAAGACTCCCTCTCTGCAAACCTTCTCGCCTTTTCTGCTTCCCATGCGCCACATATACTCCCCCCTGCATCTGCCCACCGCCGTCGCAGTCATATAAAAATGCCTTTTATCCATCCATTATAAAAAAATTTAACTGCAGTTGGCATGGAGGTAAAGTGAGGATTGACTACAATCTGGGATGTAAAACAGTAATTATGATATTGTGCAGAGTAATCCTATAAATATCTGTGTTTTGGAGAGGTATATACAGTATGCACGTTTGCCTGGTGTTTGTTTGGTGTGCGTTTGGGTCTGTGAAATTGGTGTGGAAATGCTTTAACAGTTACTGCTGTTCTTTTTCTGAGATCGCAGTTCCTATCAAGACTCTTGAGATTTACATGGATATTAGGAGGGGAATTGAGGAGCAGGTTCAGGTGTGTGGATTTTTTTTCTTTTGAGATTCTTATGTTTGATGCTCTCAAGATGCAATCAGTTTTGACTTAGTTTGAATTTTTGTTAGGGATTCACTGAACCATCATCAGAGAAGCTTCTTCCAGATTTGCATCCTCAAGAGCAACATGTTTTTACTCTTGTTCTTGACCTCAATGAAACATTAGTATACTCAGACTGGAAGGTATTCTGTTTGTGATGTGAATGTTAATTTTCTTTTTTACATCATGATATTATTCTGCAGCTTTTCACCTTTGCTAGCTGTTTAAATGCTTATACTGATTTTTGCTTGTCTTATTGAAGCGTGACAGGGGCTGGAGAACATTTAAAAGGCCTGGTGTTGATGCTTTCTTGGAACATCTTGCTAAGTTCTATGAGATAGTTGTGTATTCAGACCAGCTGAGTATGGTAAGTATGGTTCCTTTTCTTTTGTTCCCCCTTCTTTTCAGCATCGAGCAATCTTCCATGTACAATTAACTTATCATTTTTATTCTGCTGGCAGTATGTTGATCCTGTCCTTGAGAGACTTGATCAAAAAGGTTGTATTCGATACAGGCTGGCAAGAAATGCAACCAGATATCTCGACGGCAAGCATTATCGGGTATGTAAACATTGTGGATATTATGGGTTTCCATCTTTGCCGTCAGTTAAATGAATTATTTTCATTCTTGAACTCCATGAAGTGCTCTTATCTTTTCTCCTTATACATTGATAAGCTCCGACTTCCTTACAAGAAATTAGCCATAATAAACTTTCTTCTGTAATATTTTGTTAAAAACTTTAGAATCAACTATGTTTATCATTCTGTTCTTTGAGCAATGTGATTCATGAACCATCTCCGAGAGTCTGGTGTTGGACATAATTCCTATTAGAGTTCACATTTTTTGCTTCGATTTCATGCTTATCTGGGGCTGGACCTTTACAAAGGACAATGAGCTATTGGTGTTTCTCTATCTGATAATATTGATATATAGAAACCCTTTTACAAATTCTGAGGGTAATCCCTTGGTAGTTTGCTAAACTTCTGTATAAATAAAAAATGATGTATTCTGGAAATTTTTTCAAAAGGAAACTTGTAGAAAGCGTGAGAAGGAACTTTCAAATGGAAAGTTGTAGGAACATGGGCTGTATGTTGATATGAAAAATTACTAAGAAGAAGATATTGAAATACCCCTAGCCCTTGTCATATGTGTCTGATATGTGTATCCATCCAATGGTACAAGATCTTTGTACTGAAGTCTAGAATATAACGAAAAAATATTGTATTGGTCTCCTTATGCTTCATGCTATAGAAAACTGTCAAATTACACACACGCCAGGATATTAATGTTGAAATGTAAGTCCCTGCTATTTACCTAAAACAAAGTATATTTGTTGGCCATGTTGATATCTAAGCTTTAATCTCGACTAGCAGACAACAAACTTGTGGTTTGTTTCCAGAAGGTAGTTGTGTCTGTCATAGTAGTGATTATGGATGATAGTGTAATCTGGACACAGAACACAGGTATCAAGTTGCTGGACTTTAAAGTATCCGGTATACCTTTTAAACTGGAATAAATTGGAAATGGATATGTAGGTGTCTGGATTACTGATGTCATACTTAAAGGAACAATAGGCTGTCGGGTTTGACTGACTGCAAGAATAATGTAATGTTTGTCAGTACTTTTCTTCTTCTTTTATAGATCCGTCTGGCTATTCTCTGTAACCCTTTTCCTTCTTTTGAAACAATGATATCTTATTTTTCCTTTTTTATTTATGAGAAGTGTTTGATCCGTAGGAAGTGTTGTGTCAGTCTTAAGTGTTTACCACAGTAAATTTTGTATAGTGTCCTGGTAACACTTATTGTTGGTGGCTGGAAAATTGTTCTTTCTTGCTTTTTTTCCTTTTCCGATTGATGGGGGTATAGAAGGAAAGACAAAGAGCACCACAGAAACTCTGCAATGTTTTCATGATCGCATGCTTTTGGAGCTGTTTAGGCTATCAGGGGAAAGAAACTTCATATATGATGACTTTAAATTTTAAAATAAGTTTCTGAAAACATACGTTCCATTATCTCATTCTTTCAATTTATTTTTCTTGCCAGATATCTTATATGATATTCTTTTTGTCCCTAAATGCTGCAACAGGACCTATCCAAGCTGAACAGAGATCCTTCGAGAATTCTATATGTCAGTGGACACGCAACAGAAAGTAGCCTGCAGCCGGAAAACTGTGTGCCTGTTAAGCCATGGAAACTAGAAAATGACGACACTGCACTTATTGACCTTCTTCCATTTCTTGAATGTAAGCATTTTCGGAACTACCCTATTGTAGTTTCTTCCATAGAGTGTGAGTTGGATGTAACGCTTGTAAACTTGAACTTCTGTGCAGATGTAGCTCTCAATAGACCTGCTGATATTAGACCTGTACTTGAATCTTATAAAGGCCGTGATATAGCCACTGAGTTTATCGAGCGGTCAAAGGAGCATCAGAGGTAAGAAGTTAGTTGCTTCTGTATTTATTGCTGTTTTGTTGAAATGATGTTTTTTTGCTCCAGAAAACTACTTTCTGTTAATGTTGCTTCTCAAGTGGGTCAGCTTTGCTGCATTTCTAGTCCGTCCCTTGTCTATATTAGACAAACTTCTCGGTCTAGAATTAGGTCTCATTGCGACCGATAGACTTAGGTTTTTTGGGATTTGGGTTTTTCTTCTTCTTGTCATATAGTTTAATTTTAATGTTCTTTTTTGGGTCCTACCGGGGCAATTCGATGTAGGGTGTTGTTTGATTTAATTCTTTGTTAGGTCTTGTGTAAGTTAATTTGTGCGAGTGTAGATTATAATTCCTGAATTCCAAGAGGAATGACTTCTCGATTTATGTATAGCTGGATGTTTTTATTTGCATGATGTGTCCACCTAACAAAGCCTCTGTTGCTTGGCTATTTTCTCGTTATTCCATGATCTTTCAATTTTGCCTTCGTTTGTTGTTTTTTTGGATATTGTGAGCTGAAATCATTTTTCCCCCTACCAGGCGGATACAAGAACAAAGGCAACACAACCGTTTCTGGCGTCGATGAATTTCTTTTGACAACTGGAAAAGAATGTAAAAAGGCCGTACGAGGAAATTTCTTGTTCGTAATGATCCGTATTTATTCCATGGACAACAACAATAGAAGGATAGGCATGGATGTGTTCTCATGCCATTTTGGGTGTTCATGATTGAGTAATCTAAAAATCTTGGTTTCGAACTATTCATCCAATTGTGTACATGAGGATCAAGTCTTCCATCAGTAATAATCATCATTGTGGATGGAAGAGGAAGTTTGAACTTGTTTAATTCTGTTTTACCTCTAATGTTTGAACGGATGTTTACCTAATTTTGGTTGTTTTACCTGTTTTCATGATTAATACGGTCTCAGGTGCATAATGGGTGATTTGTTCATCTAAAGCATCGATGCCTATTTTGTTGTTAAATGATCATTAATATTGGGGAAAAAATGATTTCAGAAATTCAATTTCATGTAGTCTCTTGAAGCAGAGATGTGTTTCATTATAAAGTTTTTGCGTGGGCGCACGTTATTGTATCACTTATTATCTCTTGCAATTATATACTTTAATTATATACTTTTTAGCTTAATGAATATTGTATCCCTTATTATCTCTTGCAATTATATACTTTAATTATATACTTTTTAGCTTAATGAATGCAAGTACTTTTCCGTGCCGTAACGGTCGTAGTTGGTTAGATCATTTGCAAAATTCTACAACTTAACAGTTGCAAACGTATATGTTTCTACATGCAATGCCCAGATTTAATTTGTCCTTGCTTTTAATAAAAATGTAGTAACACATAAAATCCTTTCTGAAAATGCCTAGAAACAAAATTTAATTAAGTTTTTTTAATTATATGAAAATATTATTATTTTATTGGATTTCTCATTTTTTTCGTTTTAGAGGGAAATTGCAACGTATGAGTTTAAGGCTTAATTGCACTTAAATACCCCATAGTTTCCCCTATTTTACACCTGTACATCCTCACTTGTTCTTCCCAACACTTGTACACCTTAAAGTTTTCTAAAGTTGTACTTATATATCATTACTTATTTTAGCAGCACTTACATACCCTAAAGTTTTCAAAATGTTCACTTATATACCCTAAAATTTTTAAAACTTGCACTTAAATACCCTTAATTGTGCAAATTTGAGGGTATTTAAATGCAAGATTTAAATTCTCTAGGGTATTTAAGTGTTAGATTTAAAAATATGATGGTGTTTAAGTGCGCGTTTTTAAAACTTTCGGGTATATTAGTGCTGCCAAAACAAGTGTGGGTATATAAATGCAAGGTTTAAAAACTTTAGAGTAATGCGAGTATATAAATGCAAGTTTAGACTATATAAGTGTCATAAAAAAGAAGTGAGGGTATATAATGCGAAACAATGTGATGCAGGTATGAAGATCTGCGACGATAATGTTTCACCAAATCAACGATCGATCTAGGCAGGAAGTTCGAGAATAAAGTGAAGCTTTCGATGGTTATTTAGCAAATTTACAAATGTACTAAGTTTAGACCTTTGTAAATTATTCAGATAATAAATGTAATGATTCGTTCTCTTAATACAATTCGACTTGTAATATTTAGATCAACAAATATACCTGGTAACAGAATCGCTCGCTTACTAATCAAGCATAATACATCACAAACGCAATTGATATTAAAATTGATAATAGCGTGCACGCAATAGCGATTCCAAAAATACTAGGTCGAAAGAAAACTAAATATTCGTCGGGCTGAACTGGTTCGATGTGAGGGATCTCTGGAGGCGGTGTAACGACACCGAATCTGAGAGGAGGGAGCTCGCCTCCGAGAGCTACGTAACTAGGTGAAGTGGCGTGTCCGGGTAGAAGCATCTGTGCCACGAACTAATACCCAAACGACTCTCCACGCTAGCTGCAATCTGATGAGTTACGCGCTTGATATATCTGGCTGAGTGTCGAACGGCTGATAATCGAACCACTGAGAGAGCTATAAATCAACCACACCAGTCTCTGGACCAATCACGAACTGGGCATCTTCAGCTTCAGGATCGGTCATGCACCAACGGATCACGGACTCAGAACTCAAATCGGATTAGAACCGAACAGAACTCCAAATGAATCTGAATCGACTTTGAATCAAGCTTGAAATTTTAACGGGTTTGCTACTGTACGGTCAGATCTGAACTGAAATCAGGTCCAAATGAATAGGGCAGACTGATTAAAAAGAACCAGATCCAAAAGATCTGTTCGGTGTGAACTTCGGTCTGAGGAGAAAAGGAGACGAGTGCCGCTTGAGGGGATGGCGGGCGGTGGTGGTCGAACCGAGCAGCGATGTGGACGACAGCTAGGGTTTCAGGGGGGGCTCTGATGGAGATGATGGCGAGGAACTTCGATGACTGTTCTGAGGGAGGGCGACAGGAGTTTGGCGGTTGTGGAGGAGGGAACTGGTCGTCGGGATGACTAAGGATTGCGATGAAGTGTTCGGAGGCGTGGTTGAAGAAGGAGAAGAGCATGGGGTCAGTGTCTGATGACGTAGCGGGCAGGGGGGTTTCGGGGCTATCAGAGGTGGAAGAAGATGAAGGACTGGGTGGCGGCGGCTAGGGTTTCACACCACTAGGCCACAAATTCACACAACAATTTAGGTAAATTTTTATTTCAAATCTCCGATAACCGTTTTTTATTACAGCAATGTTTATAAAGAGAGAATATTACATATTTGGAAACCTCACATAATCAATCAAATCTTTCTCAACCAATCAGATATCAAAAATAAATAGCTACCATATCTAATCTCACAATTCAAATTCAAATTAACTACTAAACTAAAAATAATTACAAAATCTAAATTATCAAAACCACATCTTAGGGATCCGATGCACGACTGAAACACGACGTCTCCTGCGCTGATAAACACGGCGAAAGTCCCGTGCACATGCCTGGATGTCCTCATCATTCTCTCCAGGTGGGAGAGAACTCGACTCTATCGAGTGCAAGTTAGGATGACTGTCATACTGCTCAAGAAGATCTGGATCCAGCCTCTGTAAATTACCTCGATCGAGCCAAGTATTATCAGACTCAGGTTGACCTTTCCAACGTACCAACTACCTGCGGATACCACCATCGCTAGTAAAAACAATGTTATCAGCAATAATATTATCAATATCATGTGCTGCATATGAGGGTGATATATGGGGAAGTGGAGATAAAGAGGAGCTCTCCGAAATAGGCTCAGGGGTAGGCTCATCAACCAGTGGGTTGTCAGGGTTAAAATGTGGACCTTTGTACTCTACTAAATCCTCAATATTAAAGTCGAACCAATATTAAAACCTTCAGGAAGGTCGAGAATATAAGCATTATCATTAATTTCTTGAGAATTTTGTAAGGACCCACACTTCATGCATGCCATTTTTAATAGTTCCCATAGGAAATTGTTCCGAACGTATCCGGACCATCACATAATCACTAACACTAAATTCTTTGAACCTCCTTCTTAGATTTGCTCGGATGTTATAGTTAGCATTGCTATTGTTGATCCTTTTAATGATTTCTTTATGCAAGTCATGAATGCGGAATGCAAATATAGATGCTGACAGAGATACTCTATGATGTACAGACACATGGACAAGATCTATAGGCTGTCTAGGCTTGTAACCATACACGACTTCAGCTGGACTGACATTTGTAGACCTATTTACAGAGTTATTATAAGGAAATTCAGCAGTAGGCAGATGTTGATCCCAATCCCTAAGATTCTCACCAACTAGCATTCTCAACAGGTTAGCTAAGCTCCTGTTAACTAACCCAGTTTGACCATCGGTCTGGGGATGAAAAGCTATTGAAAATTGAAGCTTAGTTCCCATTTTGTGCCAAAGGGTTTTCCAAAAATAGCTGGTAAACTTAATGTCCCTATCATATTCAAATGTTTTCGGTAATCCATGCAGTTTAACAACTTCGTTAAAGTACAACTTGACCACATGAGAAGCGTCGGAGGTCTTGGAGCACGGTATGAAGTGGGCCATTTTGGAGAATTGGTCCATAACAATAAGGAAAGAATCATGTTTTCTAATTGTTTTCGGAAGCCCTAACACGAAGTCCATACTGACATCTTACCATGGATAATTTGGGACAGGGAGAGGGGTGTACAGACCAGTATTCTGCTTGTGTTGTTTAGCCAGTTGGTGTTGGCCTTCTTGTTTTGATAATGATTTAACAAATAATTTACATCTAATATTATTTGTCTAGTGTTTGTGTTTTGTTATTTACTATAGACAAACAATAAGTTGGAGGATGGATGGATTGTGCCATAATGATCATATCAAATGGAGGTTGGCGGAATAGTGGCTGAAGCCTTGTTATTCAAAGTTGAAGATCCAAGTTCAAGCCTCATCCAAGTTTACCAAGTCAAGCTTATTGAAGATCAAGATCAAGCTTGGATAACATTAGTTTAGGCTTATATTATATGTGTTAGTACTTTAAGCTCAATCATATATACACACACATTATATTGGTTTCCTTCTATACACATAGTTATATATATATACAACACAAGGGTTTCCATATATATATATATATATAGTTATATATATACATACATAGTTTTGAGTTTTCATGTTTATAAATATGAGATTACATATTTCATATTTATTATTCTATTTTGGTTTAGCTATATAGATATTAAACAAATTTACATGCATATATATAATCATATGTTTCATACTCTATTTTGTTTGAGAATATATTGCATAGAATATGTAATTTTAAGAAAATATTGTTTTCATGGTTTATGGACTTAACAATCATTCATTAAGTCCACAAAATCATTTTGTAAAGTTTCAAAACATTATTTTTCACATTTTCATGTTTTGGACTATTTTGTAAAATAATGATATATCTCATTTGGGAGGTCCTTTTTAAAAACCAGTTTTTGTAACATGTTTATTATCATGTCTACAATCATCTTCCAAAGTTTTATAATTTTTGGAATTTATCTGATATTTTTAAACATATTTTTAAGTTGAGTCTTCTGTGCATCTGGTCTGTGCATGTTTAGTCGACTCATAAGTCGACTCATAAGTCGACTCACGAAGTGTAGCGGAGCTGTGATTTTTTTTCTGCTGAGTCGACTCATATAAACCGACTCATTAGTCTACTCATGAGTTGACTCATAAGTCGACTTATGAAAGAGCCGTTGCACAATAACAACTAGTTTCCAGCAGTGTTTTCTGGGGTTTTTTTTTTTGTCTTTTCAGTTGGGTTTTGGCTGAGGTTTTGGGTGACTATATATACCCCCTTGCTCTAATCTTTCATATCTAACTAATGAAATTTTTTAAATAAGTTTAAAAGAGTTTTAAACAAGGGTTTAAGTTTATTTAATGTTTGTTTAGAAGTTTTTAAGCAATTGAGGGTTTGAGTTTGTGAATTCAATTCCACAAGAGCTTGAGGAGGTCATCTATAGGAGTTTGAGCAATCAACTATTCTCCCTCCATCTCTTGTCATCTAT